AAAAAAATAACAACAAACCAATGACAAAGAAAAAAAAAAACACAACAAGAAAGAAAAGCTTATAGTTAGTTCAAGGACTGTTTGTTGGCCTTTAGGAGTGTTTTCCAGTCCAGTCCATTGGGGCACCAAAGTCCACCTTCAGCATTCCCTGGGCACCTCACCGCTCTGTTCCCTTGCTGTTCTGTTGTACGCCTTAGTGTTTTGCCTCAGTGTGGTGGAATCAGATAGGGTGCAATTCCCACACTGTCTCTCCGGTGTTGTGCCTTGGAGGGCTATGGATCAGTGAAGGATGTCATGTCTCATAGTGGGGCTGGCCATGTGGTCCTCTATGTGGACTAGCTGCTCTAATCGGGAACATCGTCCTCAAGGTCTGGTGGGCCAGGATGTGCTCCACGCTCTCCTCCTCCCGCTTCATGTGTTCCCGTGTGCTCGATCAGATATGCACCTCTCCCGGAGCTGCAGATTCAATGCAGTCCTGTGAAATAAATTCTCTGGGAGGAGGGGCAGGTATCCACGTAGTAGTTGGGATTGGGGCCAGCCCCTCCAGCTGCAATGTCTTCTGTCCTCTCTACCCTGACCTGTAAAAAATCTAGCCACTCTTTAAAGCTTAAAGTTAGCTACCCAATTTTTTTTAGGTAAAACTTTCTGTGATTGTCAGACTAAAGTGGACCTTCTATTTGTGTAAACAGCCAATGTTCTGCAATTTAAAACATTATTTATGTGTGTATATAAGATACAGTGTATTTCCATTGTAGTTGTACATTTAAACTTCTGAAGGTATTGTTTTTGTATCACCTATCACAATTAGTATAATGCCCTGTACATAGAAGGTATAATAAATATAATATGTACACACACACACACAGTATATATATACTAAATAGCCGAGTAAAGTAGCATAGCATATTATGTATTTAAGCGTGATGTGATAAAGTTTTCCAGAAAGAAAATAGAAGTTGTGATAAAAAAGAAATCCATAGGCATATAACCCAATAGAATATACCCTCACGTACCAATAGTTAGCTAGCACAACGACTCCGTGTCTGATGGTACAGATCTACATTCTGGGCCGCTCCTTCCAGTAGCCTCTACTTGTCTGCTTGAATGGTTTCTGTCTTCTCACGACCAACTCTCATTTATTCTTCTTGTCAAGAAGAAAAGTAAAGGTCCCCCCCGTCTAGCTTGTACTTTTGAAGAATTTGACTCCAACACACAATAAGGATATTGACAGAAGACCAGCCTGGCTTATTGCTATGTTTACACAAGTAGATCTTTAAGGGTTTGGGGTGATTCGTTTGTTTTTAAATTATTTACACATGGTTTTTAATATTGTTTTAGGTGCAAAGTTTCCAATCAAATGGACAGCTCCCGAGGCTGCACTGTATGGTCGGTTTACAATAAAATCGGATGTGTGGTCGTTTGGAATCCTTCAGACTGAACTAGTCACGAAGGGCAGAGTGCCGTATCCCGGTAAGCGTGCGTTCCCTTGGGTCCTGCTTATATTGGCATTCATTTTCAGTGAGCATGTTAGGAGCAAGGATACAGGGAGTGGGGTTTTAGTTCTGTTCTCTTTTTAAATTATTTGACGTTACAGTAACACAGCCAGTGACAGCCACAGTCCTTGAGATGGGACAACCACATAAAACAAATGCCCAGTTCCCCTTAGCGTTTTTCCCTTTGACAAAAATTTTGCTTAAAAATTACTGTTAGGTCCTTGGTAAACGCCTGTGATTTGCACGTGCACGGGATGGGACTCTGGGAGTTCTGACAGAGAAGAGCCACTAGGAGGCCAGGGAGTGAAGCAGAGTTGACCGGGGCAGAGCTCTGTGCTGCTCTTTTCCAGCCTACCTAGTGGACTTGGAGACCCAAGAAAGATCAAGCTCTAGGAAAAGGGGGAACGCTGAAATAGGCTTGAATAACAAAACCGAAAACCAAGCTTTGGCAAGATCGCCTTGTAATTTCCATTTCTATTTATAATGTCTAGCATAAACTTAAAAATTACTAGACATATGAATTAGATGGAGTAACTAAAAATAATTGGTTAAGTCCATTTGTTTCCTCTTCAAAGGGCCCAATTCTGTTGATAGTGCCCTTTTCCATCATCTGCAAAACTTTTCTGTTTAAGCATAACAGTATTTTGAAGTGCTTGCCCGCTAAGCTGACGATCTTGATCCCCTGTGTCTGATCCCATTGACGTTTTGAATCGTGTGTACTAGGTATGGTGAACCGTGAAGTGCTGGAACAGGTGGAACGAGGCTATAGGATGCCTTGCCCTCAGGGCTGCCCAGAATCCCTCCATGAATTGATGCATCTCTGTTGGAAGAAGGACCCCGAGGAAAGGCCAACATTTGAGTATATTCAGTCCTTCCTGGAAGACTACTTTACTGCTACCGAGCCACAGTACCAACCAGGAGAAAACCTCTAAGTCAAGTAGCCTGTTTCTGATGCACAGTCTGCCAAAATGGAAAGAACTTGTGTAGCATTCCTCACGTATGTACAGGAGTGAGAAGAAGAACATCTTCTTTACTCTGCATGGTCTTTTATGGTAAACTGGAATCCCAGACATGGTTGCACAAAACCGACCCCCCCACCCCGGAGTTCAACTGTAAAGTACCAATGATGAATTCTGCAACACATTTCAAGGTCCAAAGAAAGTAGAGTTACAATACTGATGACCGTGTGAGTGATAGCAATGACAACGAAGAGCAACAAGGCAAGTTTCCTCCCCAAATTCAGAATTGTTTAGGGAAATTGCCCTTGACAGAGATAAAACGTTATGCCATAATTTCACGGGACCAAGCAATTCCATTCCAGATTTTTTTTTTAATTTCTTGCATTCTCGCTTTTTTCTAAGTTGAACTGAAGTTAATATACAGTTTTAATATATGCCTCCTTTTATATGGAAATGGGCCAAGTTTATGGATTCAAAAAGGAAAATAAACAGCATCTAAAACTTGATTAAATGTCAGACCTCAACAGTGAATCTGAAAGTATAATGCATTATGATAATACTCATACTCATGGAACTGGAACGTAGCATAAATTTTTTTTCATTTGTAATTATTTTCTGAATAGTTCAATTTAGGATAATGAAGGTAACTAGAAAGTGAGTTGATTTTTTAAAAAAAATATGGTTGCATTGATTAAAACAAAAGCCAATATATAACTGAAATTATACTATATAATCCAAGGGGGAAAACTTAATCTCTAGGTAGCATGAAAAATAAAGACCCAGCATTTAAGTATTCCTTAAAATAAATAAAAGACTTGGTACTGTGAGATGTTGCTAGGATGTACTTATGGTGACTGGAGCCACAAAGACAATGTAACACTAGATCAGGGACTTGAATGCACTTTTGCTGTTACTGAATATAGACTAAAGGAGAAGTGGGCGTATTTAAAAGAAAATGTGAAAGTTTTACAGGTAGAGGGATGGAATGTGTAATATTGAAGTCAGATAGTGACAGAATGGCTTTGCTGACACTCGAAGCTCCTCCTTTGTGTGGTCTAAAACTCTTAAGAGCTCCAAGGTATAAGTAGAAAACTAATTTTTTTTAATAGTGAAGTTGTCACACTTACTACCGTGACACAGCTTCTTCTCAGAGTGTTTTGGGAACTCCAGATTTCAAACTCCTATTTGAATCAACATTCACTTTTTAAATATGTTTACTGATGACCATTTTCCCCCTTTTAGAGTACTGTTGATTGGGGAGGAGAACTTAATTCAAAATAACGACCCTGGTGAGAAGGGTTATTTTTTGCCCATGTAAAGCACAGCAGTGAAACATAAAAGACTTGATATACTAACTCAGAAAGAAGGATTCCAAAATATGAATTTAAATAGCATCCCTTCTTTAAGTGGCTAACAAAGAAAAACGGCCTCTGATAGATTAAAAACTTTGATCTCTATGTTTTTAAACTTAATAATATCTGGTCCCCATATTTTAGGAATATACTTTTCACCCATCACTTATCACAAGGAGCCCTGGAAGTGCTGTTGGGTGAGGGTTGGACTGCTACCAAAAGGGCGGTGGTTCAGACCCACCAGCTACTCTGTGAGGAAAAGACGAGGCTGTCTGTCTCCTGTAACGATTGTCAGCCTCTAGTCTAATTCGAAACCCTTTAGAAGGCGGCGATGACTTGGAATCAACTCAGTGGCAGAGGACTTGGGTTTTTGGATCACTTCTCACTGATTTACTCTTAAGATTGACACATGTGCCATGGTATCTGTGTCGAAACTCAAACCACTTATAAATGTGACAAATGAATTTCATGCTAGTTGGCAACAGTGCTGGTACTAAGAATTGTGATTGTTTCATGTTTACGTACCTGCTTCGTACTGCACCCCTTGAACAAGCGGCTCTTCTAAGGAGAGTGCCATCCTTACATTTCACGTCTACACCCTGTGACATCAGATTTTTAAAGGGATGTATGTGAACTAATGTCACTTTTCTAAGCATTTTACAAAAGGGTAACAAACTCCTGTTTCTGAACTAATGCGCTTAAGAAAAATCAGCCATGAAAAGTTGATGGCATCGAATAGGTTTTAAATTAATGGCGTGATTCCTTGTATTAACAATTGTGTAATAAGGAGATAAACACTAACTTCATGTTTGTTGAGTTTAAATGGTTATGTATTTTTTAAATTGTCGAGAAACAACTTTGTACATTTGACATTTTTTTAACAGCTGTTTGTCTTCAGTATCTGAATGTGGAACTTAACCCTCACCAAAAACGGAAGTTGGCAAAAGAACCTTGGAGCACAAACACTTTTTTAAATGAATAACAGTAGCCTAAAACGTAATATTTTTATAAAGTATTGTTTTGTGGATAATTGAAATAAAAATTCTCATTGAATGCACCTTTTTAGTTGCTATTCATACAAGTGTCTTAAACATTTCTTCAGTGTTTTAAACCAAAGCATGTTCTGAATGCGTATTTTTCTTTTGCTAAAATGTTCATTTACTTACAACTCATGAGCAGGGTTAAATCGGTTCTTTATTAAGTTGAGGACATTATTGAACTCATTCTACATGATTAATTCTCCACTTCAGGTGAGTGACGGGTTTGAATTTTGGTTTCTTATACAGGCAACTACAGTTAATATATAGTAAAACCTAAGTGATTTGAGGTAAGTTATCCATAAGAAGAATCTTAAATGAAGGATACAAGACACATAACTATGAATGGATTTAACTTTTTATTTTTTGCAAGAGGAGAGGAGAGAGGGGAGGGGAGGAGAAGAGGAGGGAGGGGGAGGAGGAGGAGGATTTAACTTTTTTAAATCCATATGGGCCTTAATTCTGTGTGTGTTTTACACTTCTATTACTGTAAGAATAAATGACCAATCAAAATAATTTGCAATTTTCAATTAAATAATATTGTTAGATGCCATAAAGTCAGCTTCAACCCATAGCGACCCTACACACAACAAAACAAAACAGTGCAGTCTGGCACCGTCCTCACAGTGGTTCTTAGTTGGAGCCCTTTGATGCTGCCACTGTGTCAGCCCATCTCGTTGAAGGCCTTCCTCTTTTTTGCTGTCGTCCTCTAGGGACTGGTCTCTCTCGACAACAAGTCCAAAGTATGGAAAGATGCAAAGTCTTGGCCAGCCTTGCCTCTTAAGGAGCACTCTGGCCTTACTTCTTCCACTATAGATCAGTTTGCCCTTTCAGCAGTCCATGGTACTTTATCAGTATTCTTCGCCAGCACCACAATTCAAATGCATCAATTCTTCTGTTTCCCTTATTCATTGTCCAACTTTCACATGTATGTGATGCAATAGAGAATACTATGGCTTGGGTGAGGCGCACCATAGTCCTCAAAGTAACATCCCTGCTCTTCAGTACTCTAGAGAGGTCTGATGCAGCAGATGTACCTAATGCAATATGTCTTTTCTCTTGACTGCTACGTCCATGAGTATTGATTGTGGATGCAAGTAAGACAAAATCCTTGACAACTTTAACCTTTTCTCCTTTTATCATGTGCCACCTATTGGTCCATTTGTGAGGGTTTGAGTCTTCCTTGCATTGAGTTGTAATACTGAAGGCTGTAATCCTTGATCTTCATCAGCAAATTCCTTGATTCCTCAATTCAGCAAGCAAGGTTACGTCATCTGCATACCATCTGCTGTTAAGAAGCCTTCCTCCAACCCCGATGCGGAGTTCTCCATATAATCCAGCTTCACGGATGATTTGCTCAGTATACAGATTGAACAAGCCACAACCCTTACCCACACCTTAGCTGATTTTAAACTATGCAGTCGTCCCTTCTGTTTGCACAACTGCCTCTTGATCCTCGTACAAGTTCTGAACGAGCTCAATGAAATGTTCTGGAATGCCCATTCTCAAGGTTCCAGTTTATTGTGGTTCACACAGTTGGATGCCTTTGCATAGTCAATGAAACAAGTAAACATTTCTGGTATTGCCTACTTTCAGCCAAGATCCATCTAACATCAGCAATCATATCCCTCAATCCATGTCCTCTTCTGAATCTGACCCAAACATCTGGCAGCTCCTTGTCAATGCACTGGTGCAATCGTTGGATGAGCTTAAGCAAATTGTACTCGCGTGCAATATCAAGATCATCCTATAGCACATTCTGTTGGGTCGCCTTTCTTTGGATTGAGCACAAAGATGGGTCTTTACTCAGTTGCCTACGGAGCTGTCTTCCACGTTCCCTGGCAGAGACGAGTGAGTGCTTCTGGTGCTTCTTCAGCTTTCTGAAATGTTTCAGTGGGCTTTCCGTCAATTCCTGGAGCCCATTTTTGGGGAATGCATTCAAGTGCAGTTTGAACTTCTTCAGCACCATTGGTTCTTGCTCATATGCTATCCACTAGATCTTTTTGGTACAATGACTATATTTGCATCTTTAAAAACAAGATTTTATTGGGACCTCTTACAGCTTTTTTAACAATCCAAACATCAGTTGTATCAAGCATAATTGTACGTATGTTGCCATCATCATTTTCTAAACATTTAACAGTACTTTCTACTCGAGCCCTTGGTATCAGCGCCTCTTTTTTCCCTCCCTCCCCCACTTCCCACCCTGGTGAGCCCATGATAAATTATAAATTATTCTTTTCATATCCTACACCGACCGCTGTCTCCCTTCACCCATATTTCTGTTTGTTCCTCTGGATGGGGGAGGAGGTTATGCATCAATCATTGTGATCGATCTTTTCATCTTCTTTTGAAGCTTCCTGCATCATTCAATATTTTGCCTATAAATTATTTCAAGATTGCAACAGGCTTGAATTTTCCCTTGAGTTCTCTCAGTTTCAGACATGTTCAGCTCTTGGTTTTCTAATTCTAGGTCATTGCACACTTCATTATTAATATCTGACTTTGCCTTCTCAAACTGCCCTTTGAATGTTCTCTTCAGTTCCTGACTTCATCCTTACATTCATTTGCTTTAGCTGCTCTACAATTAATAGCACATTTCAGAATCTCTTCTGACATCCGTGTTCATCTTTTCTTTCCTGTCTTTTAAATGACCTTTGCTTTCTTCATGAATGTCTTGTGGCCTCCCACAGCTCATCAGGTATCCTGTCATTAGTGTTTAATGTGCCAAGTCTGTTTTTGAGGTAGTCTCAAAATTCAGGTGGGATAGATTTGAACCTTGTGGATTTATTTTAATTTTCTTCAGCTTTATCCTGTACTTACATAGGAGCAGTAGATGGTCTATTTCTCTGTCAGCCCCTGTCCTGGTTTCAATCGCTGATGTTGAGCTTCTCAATCATCTCTTCCCACAGATGTAGTCAATTTTATTTCTGGGTATTCCATCTGGAGAAGGCCATGTGTATAGTTGCCTCTTGTGTTGTTGTAAAACAGTATCTGCTGTAGACAAGTCATTGGTCTTGCAAAATGGTACACTCTCCAGCTCTTTGTTTCTGTCACCCAGGTCCATATTTTCCAACTACTGTTCTCCCTCTTCCAATCCGCAATTATCAGTGCATCTTGATTGCAAGTTTGATCAATTTCTGACAAGTCATTGGTAAAATTACTCAATTTCTTCATCATTAGCTTTTGCGGTTGATGCATTTGAGTAATAGTTATATTGGTTGGATTTCCTTGAAGGCCGATAGGTATAATTCTGTCATAGCAGTGTATTTCAAGATTGATTTTGCAATGTCCTTTTTGACAGTGAATGCAATGCCATTCTTCTTGATTGTGTTATTCTTGGCAAAGTAAATAATTTAATTTTCTGATTCAAAGTGAATTTCAGTGTACTCAGACCTAGGATGTTGATCTTTATACATTCCATTTCATTTTTTACCTTTTCAATTTTCCTAAATTCATATTTCGCAAATCACAAGTTCCAATCTTCAGATTTTTCAGCTGTTTGGGGTTTTTTTTAATCAGAAAATTTACCCATTTTATTGATGCATTGCAATTGTTCTACATTTTACCATATTATGTAGAATATCCAAGCTCCTTTGTAAAACCAAAGACAAACTCAGCTGTTTATTCTTACCTTGAGTCATGTCCCATCAGCAAATGAAGAGGCTCCTTTCCCACAGGCTTTACTCTTTAGCTCTTCTATTTCAGTCTATGTTACATTTTAGACAATTTTTTTGGTGAAGTTAAGGTTCAAGAGTTGTTATTTAGCTTGTTTTGTTTTTCATATGGATGTACAGTTCCATTTGTTAAAAGACTATCTTACTGAATTTCCTAGACATATATATAGTATTTTATTTTAAAATAAATTGATAAATACTTGGGTTTGTCATGTATAAACTCATTTTGTTTATTGCAAGGTAGTTAAGGCAAAGTGCACAAATAAGTTCTCCAGTCATTCACTTAGAACTGAAAAATCAAAATTAGCAAATAGAGTAACAATTCAGTGATTAGAGTTCGACTCCTCACGTCAGTCACTTACCATTGATGCTTGGTCTTGGGAAGGTTTGATTATGGTTTTAACTCACGGAGGTCCCTCGTAGCAAGAGTCTGAGGTTCAGCAGGCTCTCAGTCTCAGAAAGAGACTCGTCTAGACAAGAGTTCTCAGCCCTGTCTCCCTGGGTGAACAGACATATATGTTTTTCTTACTGGCGGCTTCACATGGTAAGAGTCAGTATGAATTCAAAGATTATTACATTTTCTTCCAAGGTTAGCAGTTAGCCAAACATTACATATGAGCCCATTGTTGTAGCCACTGTGTCTATCAAGGAACTTTCTCCTCTTAACTGCCCCTCTACCATGCATGATGTCCTCCAGGGACTGGTCTCCGAACAACATGTCCAAAGAATATGAAAAGATACCGTTTTCAACCAAGATCCATCTGATATGAGCAATTATATCTGTTCAGGTCCTCTTTTTTTTTTTTCCTTTTTAAAAATTCAATCATATCGTCTCTCTGGCGTCCTTGCTTCCGAGATGACAAAGAAAAGGCTGCAGCCATGTGCTGCCCGTTCGCTGCATGAACTGCGCCCGCTGTGTACCCAAAGACAAGGCTGTTTAAGTTCGTCATGAGAAACAGCGGAGGCTGCGGCCGTCAGCGACATTTCTTCGACGCGAACGTGCTTCCCAAGCTACGTGAAGCGGCATGACTGAGTTGTGCATTCACAGCAAGGTGGTCAGGAACCGGTCACGTGAAGCCCGGAAGGACCGAACCCCGCCACCTCGATTTAGACCTGCAGGTGCTGCCCCATGACCTCCTCCAAAGCCTATGTAAAGATTAGAAGCTGAAGAAACGCAAACCTGAAAGGAAACAAAATGAAAATTGTTCATGGAAAAAAAATTCAATCTCAAGAGGAGTTGTACAATTGTCACCATATTCAATTCTAGAACATTTTCTTCCTTGTACACACGGCTATTCATATAATTTTTTTCTGATTTTGTCAGAAA